AAAAAAAAAAAAAAAGAAGAAAAAGATATTACCATGTAATGTTGCTCTTTTAATCTTTTCAAGATTTTTTTTAAAGAAAGAAAAATCTTTTCCAAGAATTTCAATCGGATAATTACAATCTCTTTCCTATACAATATTAATATTTTGTTAGAATCTTATTCTACGTGCAAAAGTGACATCTAAATATACAACTTACCTGAGAATTTTAATTCTGGAAACTCTAAAAATCTTATTCGTTCATATTTCTCCACACAAATATTCCTTTCCTTATCATTTTACCTTCTCTAATTCGGCATAAAAGACAAAGAAAGAAAAAAAAAACAAATTCTTGAAAATAGAATCTCATTCTTCCATCCACCTTCTCGTCATTTCACCTGAAAAAAATTCGGTTAATTTTCGTTCGAATTTTCCAGCAAATAGGTAAACTTTAATCGTATTAATTCGTAGCAGATCACACAGCTCAGACAGCCTCGCTTCAACGATCCTCGTTTCCTTGTATCCCCGTTTATCCATTGGTGAGGGATAATGCATGCGCCCATCAGTATTCGTTCGAACTCAATATTGGTACGCGGAAGGCGTGCCCGCCGCGTCGAATTTCCATACAGGCCTCCTGCAGACGGTATGGAAATGCGAGGCTGAAAAACAACCAGGTTGGAACTGTACCTGGACGCCTCTTTCTCCGTCTCTTGTCGCGCCTCCCGTCAAACTCAAACGCAAATCCTCCGGACGACCGCATTATTTGACGGTACTCTTGCTCAAAATTCCATGGAAACATTTTATCATCTGGACGTGGCTCGCCTCTTTGGAGAAGAGATTTCCCCTTGAGTGATGATGGGTTAACGATCGTTTAAGTTAATATTGGTTAATATTGGGTAAAAGTGATAAGATACGAAGATGTAAAAATTTTAAATTATTCTCAACTATTTTTAACTCCAATTTTAATCATTTTCATATCGTATTGTATTTTAGATGTATGATAATTCATTTGTAGGATTTTATAGTTTGTTTTAGTATTATAGAAGATTTTAGGAAATAATTTCGAAAGTCATAAATCCAAAGTTCTTATAAATCGAATACTCTGCAAAAGGATTGTATCCATATTTATAAATTCTTTGAATTTATATATATACGAGTATTAAACTTTTGATCTCATAAAAAATAACTCATCTTTTATCCAGAACGTAGATAAGTACATAAACAAACTCTAATAAATAAATATCACACGTTGTAACAACAAGAATGTTCATTCAAAAGACGGAACATTCTTGTGTATAAAACGATGTTTCGATGTTCGTAATAAGATTTTGTAACATAGAATCGAAGAAGCTACGCGTGAAAGATAAACGAGGATCGTCAGGGGGCCACGCCTAGCCTCCATCAACCGATAAAAACGAACATTATTCCAGACATAGCTCGATAACCCATTACATCCAATTCCCTAATTTCTACATCTGTTAGTTTATTGCCTTCCTAATTGAAATGAGCTCCAATCGCCATCGATTTTAGATGTTCGAGTATATTGTACAATTCGTTAGAGTTGAATATTTCTTCTTGGAAAATTACATCTATCATGATTTTGATAATTTTCACTTCTTTTCTAAATAATATTAATCCATTTATCATTGTACACACAATTATTCCTTTATTTCTCTGATATCTTTACTTATAAATGAAGGGGATGGTTTCTTTCTATAAAGTAATAAATATGACAAAATTCTTGTTGCTCGAGCATGGCATGAGGAATGCCAATTCGTATAAAATTTAAACGAAAGATTCGGAAGATGATATTCCTTCTTGAACGAATAATGGGTTTTGAATTTAATCATTCTCTATGTTCTTCATTCAAAGGGATTCATCAAGAACAGATATTTCTTTATTTTTCTGAATACGCAACAAAGCTACCCTCCCCATCAAGCAATACAGTTCAAATGACCCATCCAGTACATGTACAGTAGTTCTCTATTGTCTGGCATATCTTTGATCTCAAAATGAGCCAGCACTATTCCGAATAGAACTTCCTTTTTAAAATTCTCCTCTTTTCTTCCTCATGCCAACTATCGATATTTCACGACCAAATGGGTAGCAAAGAGAGAGAGAGAAATAGATGTTAATGAGCGCAATGATAAAGTAACGATAACGATTAATAATGATAATAATAATAATAATACCATCGACTCTTTCAATCGATCCAAAGTCGCAATTTAACTTTTCCAACTTTGAGCAATCAAACGTATATTTCCTAAAAAAAAAAAAAAGAAAAAGAAAACGATAATAAACTTTTATTCCACTCGAATTAAAATATATTATACGTGTTATAATCATAAAATAAATGGCGGAAAATAGGAATACATTGACTTCTCGTCCAATTGAAATTCTCAATTCACGTTCCGAATTGGAATACCGTTCGAGAAGTTTAAACGTTTGCGTTGTAACGAAAATTCGGACAGCCGTATACT